ATTTCTAAGAGATAATTTGTTATTCAATTTAATTAATGGTGTTAATAATTGATGTTAAAATTATAAATTGATACTAAATCAAACTTTGATTCAGACTAGAAAGAAAATTGTTTTTATGGGAGCAATAAAATTGCAGAATCTCCAAAATTTCGTAGCAATTGATGATATATTTATTTTTTTGAGACTTATTAAAAATATCTATATATTTTAGGGCTTATTAAAAATTTTTATTATATGGAAATAAATAAATCATTTATTTAAAAAGAAATTATATGAGTAAATTCTTTTAGGAGGAATCAAATTCTGAAGGGGAAGAAGAGGCTCCTAGAGGAGGACCTGAAGTAGATGCAGGATAAGCTTCATAAGCAACAAGAACTAGAATTATCTAAGGATTAATAGATTCAGATGATGATGAAGGATAAAGAGTAATTGTAACAGAAAAAGAAAAAAGATATACAAGATTAAGAGAAATTATAAAAGAAATTAAGATTAAAATCAAAAATTAAGATTTTGTTACATTATTAGATAAATTTGAAGAATTAAATAAGGAAGTTGAAAAGAGTGCTAAAGTATTTGAAAAAGAGGGTGGATTACCTAGATTTTATATTAGAATTATGTGTTAAATAGAAGTGTTGATTCTTTAATTTACAGCTGAATAAAAAAAGAAATTAGGAGTTAATAATAGTAAAGCTTATAACACATTGAAATAAAGAATTAAGAAGCATAATTTGAGTATTAATTTGTTTTATTAATTATTTAGCTATTAAGGAAAAAATAGATGAATTTATCAATAATCCTATTACAACTGATTAGAGTGAAGATGAAAGAAAGAAAAAAGTAAAAGCAGATAAGAAATAAGCTGGATCAGATTCTGAACCAGAAGCATAATAAAAAGAAGAATCTTCAGAATCAGAAGATGATGATAAATATTTACTTTAATCTAATGATCCAATGGTTAGAAGAAGATATTGGTTAAAAAAGAAATTACCAGATAAAAAAGATGCAAAGATTGAAGAAATTTAATAAGAAAAAACAAATAAAAAAGTAACTGTAGATATTGATTATGATGTTAAATTCGATATTGCTTAAAATAAAGAAATTCATATTGATTATGATGCTGAAGCAGTCAAAAAGAAGTTAGAGTAAATTGTCTCATCTAGAGGAGTTTAAAAGAATTAAGTGGAGAATTTATACATCTGTGAAAAATACATATAATATTTTATCAAAGAAAATCTTCAAAGAGCTGTGGAAGTAAATCTTCATTTTATCCTCATAGATATTGCTTATCACAATTTCTTTATAGATTGATTAAGCTAAATAAGAAGCACCATTCTATTTCAATAGACAATCATGGTTATAAATCTATTAAAATACATTCCTTTTGTATTCACTTCATTAAGATAAAGGAGTCAAAGTTGAAAAATTACATACTTATAGTAAATATGATTAAGAAAACTCTTTCTCTGAGTTCAGATTTATTAGTACTCTTTTGGTCAATTTCTAAACACTAGAAGTTGAATTAAATAAAGCATTTTAAAATGTTGATTATTACACATAAGAATATGCTGAAAGACTCAGTGATTTATATTAATTAACACATTTATCCTAAAAACTCTTGGAATTACTCAAAATCAAGAATGACACTGCTAATATTGCATTAATGAGTTTCAAATAATTAGAAGCAATATACTATATTGGTCCTGCTGTAATCTAAAAATTATTGGAATTATAAACTAATAAATAAGCAGCAACTCCACTATAAATTTTTGGAAATGGAGATATTTCATCCAAAATTTAATCTCTTGTTGAGAATATTCTTAAATATGGAGATAAGGAAACCATTGTAAAGGCAACACTTTATTGGGTATATAATTTAGCTTTGAATGGAAAATATGAGTAAGCTCATGAAATATTTATATCCAACATCTCATATGATTAAATCTCATAAATGAAGACTTTGATTTAATTATATTATAATAGAGCTTTGGTTTAATTGGGATTTGGAGCTTTTAGATAAGGTTTGATCTTTGAGACTCATCTACATTTAGCTGATTTATTGAGTAGAGACAAGGTTTTGAAAGATTTACTTTCATAAAACTATATGAAATAAGTTGAAGGAGAATATAGATATACAGTGCCTTATCATATGTCAATTAATGTTGAGACTATTGAATTTGTTTATTTATTGGCAGCTATGTTATTAGAGGTTCCAAATATTAATTAAGATCCATTTGAGGATTCTCACAAAATTATTAGTAGAAAATTCAGATAACTTTGTTAATATTATGATTCTTAAACTTTCAATCCATAACCTGAAAATATGAGAGATCTTATATATGCTGCATCTAAAGAATTAGCAAAAGGAAATTGGACTAAATGTTGGGATCTTCTAAAATAAATATAACTTTGGACTAGAATCCCTTCTTATGAATAAGTCTAATAGTAAATTAAAGAAAGAGTTTAAGAATAAGCTTTGAAATGCTATTTATATACTTTTAAGAATGGATTTTCTAATATTTCTATTGATTATCTTAGGGAAAGATTTGAATTGTCAGAATAAGTCACAAAGACTATAATTTATAAGGTATATAATATTATTAATATTATAGATGATTTATTATGGAGAGATTAAAGCTATAATTGATAATTAAGATTAATCATTTTTGATTTTTGTAAATGATGACATTTCAAATTAAACAAAGAGATTGGCTAGTGTTCTTATTGAAAAATTAAATTAACAATGTAAAAATAATGAAAAATTAATGGTATAATTTAAATTAAATAATTTAGGATTCTAAAATTGGAAGTTTTGGTATTGCTGTAGACAAAGAGAGTGTAGATCAAATTAATAAGCAAAAGAAAAAAAATGTTACTAAAAATAAAAAACCTCCAAATGCAACAACAAAAAGAAAATGATAATTATATTACAATAAATAATCTAAAGTATAGTATAAAATAAAATTATCTTTTTTTAATAAAAAATACTATTCAAATGCTTGAAAATATATTAGTCTTGGAAAATTTAGAATTTAATCTAAGTAATTTATAATCTTGCATCAATTAAGAATTATTCTTAGTAGGTAAAGGCATAAAAGTCTTAAGATTCATTTAATTCATTCTCATAGTATCAAATGGTTTATGAATTTCATTCTATTCTAAATCAGTAGTATCTTAATAAAATTCAGTTTTAAAAACCTTCAAATTAGCATTAGTCAATAAATCTAAACTATTTATTGTCAATTAATTATTAATCTTATTTTCTTTTATCATTTTAGTAACTTTATTTTAGTCTAATTCAATTAATTAGATATCAGCATTAGCATAAACATTTTGAGTGTATCCTCCAAAAATCAAGATTTTAGAATCTATTGAAACACTACAATGACTGAATTTACCATATTTAAATCCTCCAATTTATTAAACTAATACCCAATTCATCTACATTAATTATAAAACATATAAATCATTAAGTATATTATCTTATTTTGAATCATTTCTACCTCCATAAACAATTAGAGCATTTAAATTATAATAATAATTAAGACTATGAGAATAACGAGCAATTGGGACTTACCCCTAAAATGATTGCAATTAAGTACTTTAGTTTTTAATTTAATTATTCGAATAGGTTTAAATCCGAATTAAATGACTCTTAAATCATTTGTTGCTTCTCCATTTTACATTCTTCCTCCAAATACATATATTCCCTCTTATGTAACAGTAGGATACTTTCCTTTCTTCTTATTGCATTCATAACTAAAGTATGGATTTTCCATTTTGACTTCCCCATTAAATAAAGAAGCAGAAACTGCATCAGATACACCTTCAAGAAATTAATTTTCTATTTGTAAAATAGACCTAAACTATAATATATAATTAAATACCATTTATTAGTTTCTAAATTCAAACCACATGCATCATTTAAAACTTTACCATAAGAATTAATTCCTCCAAAAATAATAAAATATTTTCCAACACATTATGCTATATGATTTCTTCTTCCTTCTATAATATCACCACTAGTTTTTATTAATGTCCATAATTTTTCAGCAGGATTAAACATCCTAACATCATTATAACATTCTCTTATCCTCATTACATTGTTAAACTTTTTTTCTCCTCCATATATAATTATACTTTGCTTATATTATGTTGCAGTGTGTCCAAATCTTCCTTCAATTGGTGCTTCTCCTTTACCAACTCCAATATCTTTCCATGTCCAAGTTTATGTATTTAAAGCAATTACATTTTTAAATAAATCATTACCAATACCTCCATACATATATGCCTTATTCAGAGAAGGTATATAAGTAACAGAACATCCTTCTCTTACAGGAGGTTTCCATTCATTAATTTAGATGTTAAACCAGAAAACTTTGATAAAAGTTGAGGAAGGATCAAATTATTTATTGTTTTCTTCATTATTTTCTTCAATTTCTTCTACTTATGGAATAGGTTTAGGTTTTAATTTAATTTTTTTTATTTTTTATAGTTGTTATAACTCTTATTATTTGTTAATCATTCCAGTAATTTCATTTACTGTGCTTGTCCATTTTCTATTTAATTAATTTGTGAATTGATTAGCTTAAAATTGATTGAATTATAATCTATTTTTAAGTGTAGATTCATTTGGATTAAGTTAATCTACTTTACCCCACCAACTTGAATTAGTTTTCATCATTTCTGTAAATGTTTTAAATCCAATATCTTCATTTTATTATTATAAAAAGATTAATTTGCAATCACCTTTTGAAATATATTCATCAATAGCCATAGTTTATTAATGTCTTAACATTTATGGCTATTTCAATTATATAATCTTTTCAGTTTTACTTAATCTAATATTATCATTTTTCATATAGTTAATTGTAGTAAACTTTCTTAATCTAATATCCTCAAGTTTTTATTATTATGTTTGAATCCATCGTCTTCTTTTTTCTTAATCCATAAATTTATTAATTCATTATTAATATAATGTATCATAAATTATATAAATTTGTTCACTTTTTCACTTTTGGTAAATATTCATTAGAATCATTACGCTCTGATTATTTTAACACAGAATTTGCAGCACCTCTTCTTTGTCTTGTTGAATCTAGACTCATCATTATGGATTATCTTTAAGATAGATTTCTTTATCTTCCAGATCTATTAATATATAATTCACTATCTGCTTATGTTTAAGTAGAGTATTTTATTGTTTTTTCTAATGATCTTTCTACAGTTTTACTTTGACCTACTAAATTTTTATAAATGTATTTATTGAAATACCAATGTGGATTATATTCTTTTACTTCTAACAATTCACTTTTATCCCAACTATCTATAAAACTCTATAATGATTTTTTCATTAGATCCTCTATAGAATAATTTGTTTATCTGTAATTGCATATTTCATTTCTCAATTCAAAAACTATTCCTTAAACTGATGTAAATTTAATTGGATCTTTCAATTATTTTAGTAGATAAGCAACAGTAATTTAAGTAACTTCAGTACTTCCTGAAAATAATTATAAAATTAATTATAATTTTTTATTTATTACATCCTTCTCTCTAAATAAGATTTTTATTTGATTGTTCAAATATTCTGTATCATTAAAAATATCTGATTTCAATTTTAATACATGATAATGATTTTTATCAAAATTCTACATAGCAATAGAAACATTTGCTTCATATACTTTTAATTATTATTCCATATCTTCTTTTATCTCTAATAACATCTATTTAATATTTATCTTCATATCTTCTAATTATTTATTTAATTCTTCATTCAATTCTTCACTTTAAACAAAAGATTACTAATAATCAGTTTAACCAACCTAAGTTAAATTAAACCCTCCTTTCATATTTTAAATTATAGTATTTCTTCCATGCCCTTTTTACCCGATAAATATACCATTTGTAAGTTTCATATCAATTTATTCTATTATAAAGTTTTCTAGCTGCTACTATTGATTTAATTAATTATCTGATATAATAACCTAAACTTCAACATCTCTCTATTATTATTATTTTTTTTACTCCAAAATTTACAATTCAAAGGCTGCTAATTTTATGTTCTATTATTTTAAGGATTCTTATAATAATTATTAACGCATATCTTCCAATTTATAATTAAACTCCTATGACATTTCTTTTGCTATTATAGCTTTAAGGCTGTTAAATTAATCTTCAAGTTTATTTATTTAATTATTAATATTTATTTAGAATACTGATATCTAATTATTTACAATAATTGATATTTTCTCTTAAATATTTTTCTAAAAATCTTCAATCATATTTATAGCATTATTCTAGTTTTACAATTCTTTTGTAATTTCTTTAAAGTGTTTCTAAAAATTCTCATTCTAATAATTCAATTATTATTAAAAAGTGTTCCACTACTAATCATTTTTAATCTCAAACATCTCTAAACTTTTTATTCTTTCATCTAAGGATTTGTTGTAAACCTCAATTTAATTTTATAGTTTTGATATTGTACCCTTTAGAAATTAATTATCTTCTATTCTTGACTATTCTTCCTCTAAATATACATCCATTATTTTACTTTATCTAAAGTAAATTTAAAATAATCTTGATTCACAAAATTATTCATCTCATTTATCATCCATTCAACTCTTTTAGTTATACTTGAATACTATTTTTCTGATAGATCTTTAAAAATCACTAATTGATCTAATTTTAGACTCTAGTTTTAAACATCCTTTGATAATAATTGTTAACTTTTTTAGATTTAATTCACTTAATTTCTACAATCCACAAAAAATGAATAATAATCTTTAAAAAATTCATCAATTTTTTTATTGAATATTTCAGTATATTCTGTTTATTCTTTTGCTAGCTAATCTAAATCGGATTATGTTTTCATTTATTAGTTAATTACAAATTAAGAAGTATTCTTTTATTGTTCCAATACCTTTTCCACTTATTCTATTTTTTATATAAAATTAATTTATTGTTATTAAACTTATGTCTAATTCTTTATAATTTCTAACTCTAATAATTTTTACGATCTCTATAAATTATTAATTTCTGTAGATATCTTATTAGCTTCAAGCTAATGATTTTGTTGATTGTCATTTTACTATCTAATTTACTATTATACATAATCATTATTCAGTTACTATTAATCCATTTATCTTAAACAATCAGATACTTATATTAATATATGTAAATTTACATCTCATCATTATAGGTTAAGACAATTCATAAACAACTTCTCTTATTTTAGTCTCTATTGAGAATTCATTCATTTTTTATAATATTAATAAAGATTATAAATATCTACTTATGCCTACTATATATTAAATATTATCAAATCAAATGATGAATATAGTATTTTCAAAAATAAAATAATTTGAATAAGAAATATATGATAAATTTTAAAGAACTAAAGAGAAAGTAACAAAAATTAAGAATATTTTATTTTCTTTGATTAATAAATAAGGAAGAGGTTAAATGTCTGAAAATAAAATTGAAATTAATTATTTATATTTTAATAGGTATTTAATTTATTCGATTATAAATTCATTAAAATGATCTTTGAGTTTTTTTCAAGGTGCCTTCAAAAGGATTTAATTTATTTGATTTTTTTAGGTCATTTTATTTCAAATAATATGAATTATTTGTTGATTTTTATTTTTCTTGTTTTGTAGATAAATTATCTTAACTGTGATTTGATTTTTACACTTCTATTTTGTTTCCTTATTTGAATTTTGATATTCGAGGGTGTTTTTTTGATAAAATAATTTCTTAATAACTTCTAATGTCTAAAATAATTTTTTTTTAATCATTCTTTTTTTAATTAGTATCAGTCTCTTATTCATGGCATGACTAAACTTATAGATTTTCTTAAACTTTATTTAAATCTTTGTGCTCATCTTCAGGTATATTATTTTTTATTTTAATCTAAGAACAAGATCCAATCAAACAATTTTATTTTTAAATTATTAATTAAACATTGATTTCATTAATAAACTTTTCGAATTCTGCTCTAATTGTTTGATAGAGTTCTCTCAAATGGTTTCCATTAAACATAACATTAAATATTTATTTCTTTAAGATATTATAGTATTCTATTAATTCAACAATAGCAGAGATTTAATACAACAAAGATATTTTACCTTTTTTGATCAATAATTCAAATTTATTAGGAGCATTTTTAAAATAGTTATTTGAAAAAGTTTTCCATTAAAGATTTTCAAAAAATTCATCAATTACTAATTAAATTTAAGCATCAATTTCTTAAATTTATTTTGCTTTATTCATTTTTGTATAGAGAATCATTAAATAAATAAAACATTTTAATAAGTGATATTCTTTAATTGGGAAAATAAAATATCTTTAATTAATTTCTATTTAATTTATTAATAATTTTATTTATTGATGTTTTTTAGAATTTTAAAGACGTAAATAAGTTACATAACTAGATAAAATTGCATATAACTCATCTTTTTTATTTTTACTTAAAATCTTAATAGTTTTCTTCAAATATTTTAGAGCTTCATCATTACATTTAAGTATTTATAATTATTACACTTTGATTAAACATTATCCATATTTCTCCAAAAGTAAACAAGATTTTTAGACAAATCTTTACTTATAAAATTATGTTAGAAATGTAGAAGACATATGTTCATTTAAAGTTTAAAATAAAGATAAATCATTAGGATCTTTAAGTTATTGTTTATTTTTTATTCTTATAAATGCTTATTTTATTTTTTAAATTAGATTTAATTTCTTAGCTTAGAAATGCATTTATATTATAAAATTATTAGATTTAGAATTAGTATATGTACGATTAGATCTTTCTAAATATCTAAGAGCACTTAAATATTATCCATTAAATTCAAAAATATGTGCCATAATAAATTATAATTTAGAGATATTTTTTCTTTTAAATGTTTTTCCTTCTTCATAATATTTATTCATTTATTTTGCATATGAAAGAATAATTTTAAAGGCTGATCCTATATCATCCTATAAAACATATAAATGTAACTATTTCAAAACAACAATTACAACTTCATCTGAAAAAATATCAAATGACCTTAATAACAACATTTCAGCAACTTTTAAGCATTTTAGTGAATTATCTTAATCATGTACTTCAAAGTAACTAATACCCAATAGAAATTCTAATTTTGCTTTATTACTTGTTGCCAAATTTTAAACATTTATATATTAGAATTTTTAAGTTGTTTTATCTTTTATGTTATTATCTGATTATTCTTATAAATCTTCTTCTGTAATAAATTCTGGGAAATAACCATCATAAATAACTTAACTCATCTCTAAATTAAGCATTGCTGAAACTGGTTACAAACTCTCTTTTTGTATTTCTCCACTTATTAATAATGAATATGCATAAAATAATGAAGCTTAATGTTAATTTTTTAATTAAAATCCAATTACTTTTTGTATTTTTTGTACTGCTTAATAATAATTATTATTATTTAAATATGATTATGCATACATTAATTCTACCATTATATATTTTTTTTATTCTATAATTCCCTTTGAAGAATTATGACTTCTTAATTTTCTATCCATTTAAACTTTTATTTCTAATTATTTATTGATGCTTTTTTAAAATTAATTTAATAAAGGCAATGGTTTTCTTTATGATAAAGTTAATATCTGAAACATTATTGTAAGATGAAAATGATCAATAATAGTTTCATATATTGAATTCATAATTTGAACAGGTTTATTCATTAATTTTGATATCATATTTAATCTATATTCCCAAGAGTCATCATTCATTGATTTCAATAAATAGAATGAATTTAAGATTTCAACATATGCTTCTTCTTATTTTAATTTATCACAATCTTTAAATTTTTAATAATATAATTCAAATTAATCCTAAAATAGTAATGATTAATATAGTAATTCTTTATAAATTAATTAATTTTCAGTTAATTAATCTTTATTAATTGATAATTCTTCATTTTCAGAATTAAAATCAAATTAAAAAGATTTTAAATAAATTTAATCATCTTCTAAATATAAAGAATCTTCTAAATCAATATCTTTTTTAGATGTTTCTAAAGGATTTTCTTAAATTTAAATATCATTATTATTTTATTTGACTTAATTTTCTATATCTAAATTTAATTCATAATCACTAATAATTTTTTAAAGTTGTTCAATAATTGGAAGAGTATCTTCTAAGGTTTTATCTACTGATTTAACCTAATTAGCATATAATGCCATACGAATAAATTCTAAAATATATCTATCAGATTTAGATTAATATATTTAATCAACATAAATTAAATAATTATTATCTTCATCTAAATCTTCACCTTTCTTAATACTTTAAAAGTACTTTTTTCTTTAACTTTGAATTTATTTTAAGCTTAATTTATTTATTTTTTTAAAATAGACTAATAGATCACATAATGCTATTAGATCTTTTTTAAATGCTTTTTAAAATAATTTCATTTTCTTTTCATCCAACTATTTTAAACATTCATCTACATTACATCCAAATTATAATAAATATTTTAATCTTCCAAATGTTTATAACTTAAAAGTCTTTAATTTTGAAACATAAAAGATTGTTGACAATGTAAAATTAAGTCTATATAAATAATTTGAATAACAATAATAAAAGATCTCTATTAGATTCAAAGTAAATTTAAGATATAAAATTTTAGATAATTCCATTTTGTTTTTAATACATAAAGTTTATAGATCTTTTAATGAATAATCCAATTTATCATAAAACAAAGCCAATCTATATACATTTGGTTAATCAAATTAAGGAAGAATTTCAAATAAAAAAGTAGCATTTGTTATAAATACTAAATAGAGTTCTAGTTTTTTAAAATATTTTTATATTAACAAATGGAATAAAATAGTTAAAAATCTTGACTACTATTCTACATCCACAATTGTTATGATTTCAAGCATTTCATAATTAATTTAATTAACTAAACAAGTTTCAGGTTACTTTTATTGTAAATTTGTTGTCTACCTCCTTTAATATTTTTTCATATTTGTTTAAACTTCTTTTAAACTTCTTTCTACATATAATAATTTATCGAATGTATTAAAATTATTTGTACATTCCTTATCTGCATTAAAATAGTTATCATTTGAAAAAAAAGTGAGAAACCTTGAATATTTATATGCCTCTTCAAAATATTTAGGCTTTAAAGTGAAATATTTAAAGTCTAAATCTGTTGTTAAAGTGCCATTCAAATTCACATTATAAAAAAGATCCTTATAGTTTATAAGTATTGAGATCTTGTAATATTTCATATCTCCTTCCTATTGTAATTAGACAACAATTGATTTTAAAGACATAGTATGCTCCAGTTTTCTTAAATAGTTTGCATCATCCTTTTGAGGCTCTGTCTTTTTCTTTTTGATTTTCTCTTATTTTATTTGTTCTATTTCAATTGGAGCATCATCATTTCCAACTTAAGTAACTAAGTTGCAAATGTCAACTGGATTGAATTGATAAGTTTATGATTTTCTACCTGATGTATAACACTGAATTTAAATTTGTTCTTATTCCTCTTCTTCTTTAATCTTTTATTACTCAACAATAGTTTATGCAATCTACTATCTAATTCCATCTTCTCTTTCTCTTTATTTAGAACAGCATACACCCATTAAATTATATATACAGTTATTATTACAATACTTATTTTTTGAGGTTAAAAATGATTTATATAATAAATTTTGAGTTTGTATTTATAATTTATTGAAAAACATAAGAAAAGTTAATATAATTGAATGACTTCAATTGGTTATTTTTGAAGATGCGAGAAATATTAAAAATATTAAATAAGCTAATAAATAATTATTATTAACTGATATTCATATTGGGTTAATTTTAGTTTTAATTTTTTATTATATAAAACTTAATAAACTTATAATTCACACCTTATTGCCTATTATTATTAGTTTTTCTAACTAAATACTATCCTTTTTCATTTTCTTTAACATGAAATTATCATCAAAAAAATTGTTTACTGATTTTAAAAATTATCTCATATTATTTTTAACAATGAATTTTCTTTTATTTATTCTTATTAAAATTATCTATCGTCTTTCAAATTCCCTACATTTTTATAAAATTTAATGTAGTTGATTTTCTACTGAGCTATAGACATATTAAAATTTTATTCAAGAAACTGTTAAAGTAGTAAATTCCAATTATAATTTTCATATATTTGCTTAATGAATTTTTCTAATGAACTAATTAATCAAGTAAATGAAATATATATACCTATAT